CACACACACACACACACACACACACACACACACACACACACGATGAATGTAATGACAAAAAAGACGGAAGAAAAAAGAAAACAGACGAACAGAAACACTAGTGGACCGCAACAGCGCGCCGGTGGGCACTGAACTCTAGCTATCTTTCCAGTTCAATATAGGCGTTTTGGGCACCCATTTTGCTCTCTCTCTCTCTCTCTCTCTCTCTCTCTCTCTCTCTCTCTCTCTCTCTCTCTATCTCTATCTATCTATCTATCTATCTATATATATATATATATATATATATATATATATAGATATATATATATATATGTGTGCGTGTGTGTGTGTGTGTATACAGTGACGAAGAGGGGCTATAAGAAAAAAGGAAAACCGAAAAGCAGGAAAAAATGCGGACAACAGCGCACGGTAGTCATGCTATCTTCCCGTCCACTAAAGGCGTGGCAGGGGGGCGATATGCGCCTCTCTCTCTCTCTCTCTCTCTCTCTCTCTCGCTCTCTCTCTCTTCCCCCCCCCCCACTTTTGAACATTTTGGGGAGTAAATATTCTGCCATCTAGTTGAAGATACACTCGCCGTTTTCGCTTATTTGGTCAGGAGTAGTGCAACGACGAGGCCCTTCGTCCATTGGACGTAGTGACGTCGTAGTCGTTGCTGGTGATGGGTTTTGCAGAGCGTACTTGAATACTCGTTTTTTCTTTCTTTCTCAAAAAGAACTACGGGAAAGCACTCGAGAGTCGAAACTCCATTCCGGGAGCGAGTTCTTGTCGTCATAACTGCAGAAAGGACGCATTGTCTTTAACTTTCTACAGCCACAAAAAGTGGTTGGTGACAGCACGCCACGTGGCACGGTATTCACGCTAGATAGATACATACAAATATATATTGTCACACCGTGTATTGGACAGCAAAGGTGGAAAAAGACAAAACAAAACAAAAAAAAAAGTAAGGAAGAAAAGCGCCGCCTGCTCATCACCTCTTACGTACAAGGCCGGCCACGTGGATGACAGGTTAAGCTCTGGCTGCCCCCCCCAATCCCCGTGTGTCACAACTTCTCACAAGGACCTACTTGAACACAGCCAAAAGGCAAAAAAGAGGTAAAGAAAAGGAGGAGGAAACCAGACCTCACAGAGGCAAGAAAAAGAGAAAAGGATCCAATCAAAGAAAAGACAAAGAAAAAGGAAGGCCTATCAGTCAAACAAAACAAATAACACACCCCATCTTTTTTTTCTTTTTTTTTTCCCTTCTGCAAATTTGTTAGTTTTTCGACAAACATATATATACATACGTCCAGGGTAACCGGCGTTCGGGATGGGCCGAACGCCCGGACGTATGGGACCCCTTGGGGATGCGTTCGGCCGTTCGGACCAAACGCGGACCCAAAAAAAAAAAAAAAAAAAGTCGTCAAAAAAAACTGACAAACAGATATGTTATGGAGAAAAATAAATTAAACAAGATAGGCCTGAGCATTATATCCGAGTTCCTTACCAAATTTCAAATAAAAATAAAATATGCAAAACAAATACTAATAATAAAAATAAATAAAAATAAAAAGAGAATTAAATTTAGTGAGTGCGCGAGCATGTTTTCGACACCGCCATCTTTGGCGATTTTTTATTTTTTTTTGGCATAGCTAAATGCCCTGAATTAAATTTACAGATGTGTACTTCACATAATACAAAACCCACTAAAAAAGTTTCAAAAATAATAAAATTGTTTAGACCCCGAATTAAAGAGAAAACAAAAAGTGAAAAGTGAAAAAATACGTGGGCGAGCACGTTTTGACACCCCCATCTTTGGCGATTTTTAATTCTTATTTGGCTTAGCCAAATGACTTGAAAATTTACAGGCATGTACCTCACATCATAGAGAACTCACGAAAAACAATTCAGATAACAACAATTATTTTTAGGCCCCGAAATAAGTTCTGGCGGGGGACGAACGCCGTCGGGTTCGGACCCCGTACGGGACCCCAAACGCCCGTACGTACAGAGGTCTGCCCGGGGACCTCCGTACGTAAGGGCTGGTGACCCTGCATACGTCTATATGAACACATTTATCAAGAACACGAACAATAAGGAAAAACGAACAAACAGAAAAATAAGCCCAGCGCAACAACCCGCCACATGCGGTACTCAACCTATCGTTCCAATCTGATATAGGTATGGCGGGAATGCAGTTTGATTAGTGTGTGTGTGTGTGTGTGTGTGTGTGTTTGTGTGCGTGTGAAAACAATGAACAAAGAGACGAACAAGAAGACCGAACTCGCAAAAAAAACACTAGGGGAAAACGCTAGGTGGTCCGGAGGTGGAACGTTATTCAAGCTATCTTTCAAGTCTGATACAGGCATGGCAGCGCTGCAATTTGATTCTCTCTCTCTCTCTCTCTCTCTCTCTCTCTCTCTCTCTCTCTCTCTCTCTCTCTCTCTCTCTCTCTCTCTCTCTCTCTCTCTCTCTC